GGCCAAAAAAAAAAAAAAAAAAAAAAAAAAACTTGTTTTCTGTTTCTTTTTTATAAATAACTTTGTTTTGGTTGTAGTTTTATGTGTTGTAACTATGTAAGGTCATTTATTGTTGGAATCATTTGAAAATTTGATTGAATGTGACTTTTTAGTTTAATTATATAGTTAATCTAAACACTTTAGGGCTGAAAAACTCAGTGGGAGCGGAGTGGAGTGATAATAGTAAAGGCTAGACGATTTGTTCTTAACATACCTAAATCTTTCTTTTAAAATTGATATATATCTTTATTTCTAAAATACCAAAAACTTTGGTGCAATTCCTGAATTTGATCTTAACGATCTTTTAATACTCTCTCTCAGTACTAGTCCTCGTGTATTGTACCATGTTGGTCATTTAGTTTTTATAATAGTTCGGTTGACATATTTGGGATTTAGCTTTCGGATTCTTCCTGAACGTTTAAGTTCTTGAGGTGTTGTATCCTTTTTGTTGGATCCACATGGTTGAGCCACTTTTTGCTCACCAATATCAGAGTCACTTGGATCTTCGGTGTATCAACATTTGACTCAACATGCCTAGTTTGCTTCCCCATCTTGTGGTACAATTTCTTCAATGCTGTTTGAGTAGGTCAAAATTTTGTTATCTCAGAACCACCACAAAGATGTTTCATCAAAACCTATATCTCTTGAGAGGTAGCACCTCTGGTTGGTCACAACACTTCCACCCTATATCGGTAGCTAGTATGCTCCTTTAACACAAAACGCCCATCTGTTGAAGGTTTAACTCATATTTCATTCAACTAATAGATGTTAGTATCGTTCACTCTCACCAATCATGTCTCCTTGGTTATTCTATTGATCATCAAACTTAACAAGAATCTCATCACTAGTGGGAATGACTTCGACCTCTTGCTTATCCTCCAGAAAAGGCAAAGTTTTTTTTCTTTTTTTCTTTTTCATGGAGCTTGCTTGGATACTTGTTACTTGCTTCTCTTAAAATCCTCTTTCCTCCAATTTATCCACTCTATTTGACAATCTCCAAATTCTTTTGCTTAGATTTATGCATGGACCCCGAACCAAAGTAAACAAGTGAACGAACTTTTCGAGTTTGGCTATGGAGATAAATTGGGGGATTCTCCTTTATTCCTCGAGTTCTCTCATTCGAATTGTCTAATCTTCTTTTGTTCGGGTGTTATGATTTTATTTTTTTACATTATTTATTAAAAAAAAAAACAACAACAACAACTAAGTGGCTGGCTGTTATGTGAATTTGTTTTTTTATATTTTTTGTGAAGACATTAGCAACTAAGCCATGGCTTCTCTTTGATAAATAGCAATAAAAAAAATATGAATATAAATATAAATATAAATAGTATGGCTGCTATGGTCGAGCGAAAATTTAACCCAGCTCTTCTCCGAAGCTCCTCGTTTACGTATCTGGGATCCATCTCTCCAATTTAGGGTTTTTGCCTCCCTTCCACTTTTCTTCTCTAACTTGTAATAGCACTATCGGCTCCCGTTTTCTGTTGATATTCATTTCAATATCAGCTTCTATTCCGTCGAAACCCTCCCAATCAGGTCCACAATTGTAGCTGAGAACTTCTTCTTCTGATCTACAATGGCTGAACACTTGGCCTCAATATTTGGCACCGAGAAGGACCGTGTCAACTGCCCTTTCTATTTCAAGATCGGCGCCTGCCGTCATGGAGATCGTTGCTCTCGCCTCCACAACCGCCCTACTATTTCCCCCACTCTTCTCTTATCGAACATGTACCAGCGCCCCGACATGATCACCCCTGGTGTCGATGCTCAGGGTCAGCCCATAGATCCCCGCAAGATTCAGGAACACTTCGAGGATTTCTACGAAGACATTTACGAGGAACTCGGAAAGTTCGGTGAGATCGAGAGCCTCAACATCTGTGATAATCTCGCCGACCACATGATCGGCAATGTTTACGTTCAGTTTAGGGAGGAGGACCAGGCTGCTGCCGCACTTCAAGCGTTGCAAGGGCGATTCTACTCTGGTCGACCCATAATCGCAGATTTTTCTCCGGTGACAGATTTCCGCGAGGCCACGTGCCGCCAGTACGAGGAGAATAATTGTAATCGAGGTGGATATTGCAATTTTATGCATGTTAAGATGATTGGGAAGGACTTGAGGAGGAAGCTGTTCGGTAGTAGGTTCCGGGGTTATAGGCGGAGCCGTAGCAGGAGTAGAAGTTTGAGTCCGCGGAACCGGAAGGACTACGATAGGCGTGAGAGGGATTATAGAGATCGTGACCATCGTGGAAACGGACGGAGCAAGGAGCGTCCAGATAGGTATGACAGAGATGGGGGAAGGAGAAGGCATGGAAGCCCCAGGCGAAGCAGAAGTCCTGTCAGAGAAGGAAGCGAAGAGCGCCGAGCCCGTATTGAACAGTGGAACAGAGAGAGGGAGGAGAAGCAGTGAGGCGTACGTGTTCGTGTTGGAATTTGCCTGTTTGGTAATTGTTCTGTGCTCTTTGTCATTTAATTATGTACCTTACCTTACACCAGAGTACCGTCTGCCCGAATAGGAAGTAGAAATCTTTTCTAGACAAAACAATGGATATGATATCAAGTAGGCCATTCGGTTGTGTTATTTCTCTTTCTAGTTGCTGTTGTCGGATATGATTTCTCACCGTTTCTATCTTCGCTTCATCATTCATATGCTTTAACAACCTGTGTTTCTTCTGTTTATGCCAACTTGCTTTCTACTTGTTATGAATTTCAGTTTCTCCTACATGAATTTCTGATCCAGGCAAGAACAGGATAGAAAATACGTTGGCATGTTAGCTAGCAATTCAAATTCCGATTACTTTTTCACTATCAGTCGGCTGGGAAGTACATGGAGATGTTGTCCAACTTGTGGGGGAAGGAGTTACATTTGAGTATACGTGAGAAAAAGTGAAATCATGGTGCTTTTAGATCGTTGAGTGTGAAACAAATAAAGTTGTACTGTGTGCTAGTCAAATTGATGAATGTTGATTATGTTCACTAACCGTGTATGGCCTTGTTGTTCCTTGCATAACTAGTTTTGGTAGAGAGTAACCTTCTTTAGATGTTCCACGACTTTTCTTTATATGGAAATTGTTTGAAAATTGTTTGGGTTTTGAAAGGGCCTAGAGATATTAGCGCCTTTTTTCAGATGAATTGTCGTTCGATAGTTATTATAGCTAGGATAATCAGGCCATATCTATATAACTTGGACTTTCATACTAGATGATAACAATCTTTTGCTGAAAAAAAAAATAAGTCTATGGAAATATGCAGAGGTGAGCAACATGCTGTTGTTGAATGGCAGCAAATGAGGAATCTCGCTTGATTTGATACTTGAATAAGAAAGTAGAGCAATGGATACCTTTATGGGCGAGGGAGAGGTAGAAGCAGAGGAAGATTATCGTGGCCAATGGAAACATGAAGCCGTCCTTATGATAGAGTTCCCATGGACTTCGGGGGGGAAAATAAAATGCCATGGGACTGGATGGATTATATTCATTTTGATATATTGCGTGGATTCTGTCTTAAGAATTGGTGCTTATATATGGATTTCTTTCTTCCCCTTTGCTCTCCTTGTTTGGAGGGATAGGTCCTATGCGTTTCTATAGGATGATGGCTTGTGATTGACAAATTAGTTCAGGTTGAGGTGACAAATTAGTTCAGGTTGTTACTGCACCAATTCCCGTTTAACAATCCTGATGGCAATGCTTCAAATATGCAGAAATAGTTTTGTATTTCTTCCCAACCCAACCACTTTGCATCGTGGGTGTGATGATAGTTTTGTAGTCGGTGGTTAATCTCCGAGGATTGCATATCATACTTTTTTTGTGAGGTAATGCCGTCAACAAAAATGAATATTTTCATTTGCATTAAAAAAAAAAAAAAAAAAAATATATATATATATATATATATATATATATATATATATATATATATATATATATATGAAAAGCAAATGTATTTCAAACAACATGCACATAGAATTTGAGGTTTTGCATAAAAAAAACAATATGCTATGAGCAGAAATGAATATTTTGGTTTGAAATAAAAGTAACTCACTTTTTAGCAAATGATTGGTGCAAAATTGATGAAATATGCAAAGACGCACACAAACAAACAATAATATTAAATTAGCAGCAAGAGCATGATACAAACAAATGTAGGTTGGAGAGGTAAAATGAAGTAAGAATGAAAACAAATATAATTCATCTTGTTGTTGTAGTATTACAGAGCAAGAGATGTTATAGGTGTTAGTTAGTTAGAAAGCGTGGTGCGGTTTCGAGGGTTTAGGTGAATGAATAATGTT